CTAAATACAAAATTAAATAAATCATTTTTATCAAATCACTAAAACAAAATTATTTGCTAATAAATCTAATTTGTTAGCATTAGCCTATTCATTCTGATCCACATAAATTAATAAAAAAATCTGTTATCATCAATTAAAACACGCTCTCCCAAAATTAATTGGTGACAGTAGCAAACATTCTTACCAGTAGTAATATCAAAATCTAACTTGATTTGCAATCTACCACATCTATTACACTTTAACAATTCATCATTTCAATACTTTCCTTCACACCTTTCACAAACCATGTTGTCTGAAATTCATTCCCCAGTTACTTTGCTACGAGCTCTTATTTGATGAACAGATTTATTATTTTTGTTTTCAAACTTGGAGCAGAAATCACAAGTCTTTTTGCTTTCTTTCTCTAATTCTAAAACTGTGTATTCCAGTTTTCTCATTGCAATTTACTCGTTATTTAGACTTAACCTCTACTCAAGCAATCATTTCTTGGTTGTGAGATTTTTCCTTTTTGATTAACTTTTGTAAATGTTGAATCTTAACTTTTGCTTTTGTTTTTAACTGCTTAAATATGCTCTGTTTAACTGAAGTCTTGTTTTCTTCTTCTATAGGTAAGGCAGGTAAAGGTTTATTATCTAAGTAGATCAAATTCTTCAAATTTTTCACTATCAGTTAATTGCTTGCTTGGTTTTTCTATTTTTTTGCTCTTTTGACTTGATTCTTCTTCCAACTTTTCAACTTGGGCTTCTAGATGAGAAATCTTTTCACCAGCACTTTCGAGTTTCTTGTTTTTTTCTTTTATATCTTCTGCTTGAGCTTTACTCCATTTTTCACCAACTGTTAAGATGTTCTTAATTTCCTCTTGTTCCACTTGTACCTCATTGTCTAACTCCTCTACTCTTGTTTCTAAATCCTTAATTCTTTTAATTTTACTTTTGATAATGTCTTTAAGAATTATATCCTTAGCAGGCTTGCCTCAAATATTACTTCCTTCTTCTATTCGAGAAAAAATATGAGCTCTTTGATTTCATAGTTTTCAATCCTTTTTCAATTCAGTAGCTAACTCAGTATCTTCAAAGTAATCTATAATAATTCTCTCAACTACTTTTTCTAGATTTTCTTTACCTTCCCATTTATAGTCATACATAAGACTAAGTTGAAAACAAATATTCATAAACTGATTTCTTAATGGTTTGCTAATCAATTTCCTTAAATCTTGTTCAATATCCTTACTACAATGAGGAAATCTATTTTTCATATCTACCAATATTTGGTGAATTTAGTCGATTGCTTCTTGCTTAAATTCAGCTTCTTCTTGTTCACTTACTTCTCCTAGATTTTTAATTCAGTAATTTCTTGTTCTTTATTGGATAATTGCCTTTTCAATGCTTCAATTTCATTAATTAGTGTTTTGTTTGCTTGTTGTTGTTCATTTATGATGTTTGTCATGATTTTCTTGATTGTTCCTTTTTTTATTTATTCTTTTAATATACATATATCCTTAGGGTATGTTAAGTATATAATTATTTTAGTACTTTTCTACTTTAAATGTGGAAAAAGCTAACAATATTTGTCAAAAGATTAAACTTATTAAACTTAATGACAGTAAGAAATCAGTGGTGATTTTATTCTAAATATTTTATTCATTGCCAGTATAGATTGGTCTTAGGCAAGTAATATCTTTGTATTCATCTTTCACAAATGGGCGAATATTCTGGTAAATATATTCTTGCATTTTGTAATCCAAAGGTGGTGGTGTTAATACTAAAATGGATAAAGCTCTAATTTCTTCCAAAATATCTGCTTCCTTGGTTTTCAATAAATTGAATTCAGTAAAAGGTCCATTAGCAACTTCTTGAACTTTCACTGTACCAAAATTGGATGCTTCAAAAAGAAAATGTTGAAATTTCTGCATACCTGGTAATTTCTTAAAATAAATTCCAAAATAGCTTTAATATCTAAGTATTGAAAATCTTTTCCACATTAATAACATTGAGCTTTATTTAATCCTGCTGGACTAGACTTTTTTATCACTTCAACCACATGACCCAGACAATCTACTCTTATTTTCCTATAGAGTTTTTTTATTAAACCAAAACTACCATCACACTTGAATTTGGTGTGTCCAGGAATCATAAAATTTAATTCAATACTTTCATAATAACCACAAATTACTAAATACAAGTAAAACCAAATTGTTACATTATTTTTATTTTGTCCCCCAGCATTATCACAAGTAATCTTTAAATGCTTTTCACCTTTATTCAATTTCTT